GTGTGCGTGTGTGTGTGTTGTGTGCGTGTGTGCGTGCGTGCGTGTGTGCGTGCATGCGTGTCCACAAATGAATAAACAAATCAATCTATTAGATATAGATATGTATGTGTGTGTTCTCTGTGTGTTCTGTGTGTGCGTGTGTGTTACGTGTGTTATGCGTGTGTGTGCGTGTGCGTGCGTGCGTGTGTGTGTGTGTGTGTGTATGTGTTTGTGTGTGTGTGGTGAGAGTGAGTGTGTGTGTGTGTGTGTGCGTGCGCGCGCGTGCGTGCGTGCGTGCGTGCGTGTGTTCTCTGTGCGTGCGTGTGTGTGTGTGTGTGTGCGTGTGCGTGTTTGACAGTGCGGCCGCTCGGGGCAGCCTCTCGGCCCCATTCTGTCCCGAGCGGCCGCTCTGGACGGGAATGGACCGAGCGGAGGGAAGGAAAACGGCAACCATGACCAAGACAGGACGGGGACATGTCGATGCCGATGTTGGTCATCTTCTATCTCGGTCACCGTCAATTCGTGAAGCATCCTCCCTGATCAGCAAGACGCCTAGTAGTGTCCAAATTGGGGGGATCCATGTTCATGGGCACTGGTTTATGGTTGTGGCTCTTCATGTATATCGTCTAGTGCTGGTCCCATCTTGAACCTCGAGATTGGGGACCAAACTTGTCGACTTGGCTACATCGGACCCGTTAAGCGGTATGCGTAACAAAAGGATGTTTGAGTAAGGGCCCGCCGGCCGAGGGGAGGGGGCCAGGCGGGACGCGCGCGCGGGCCCTTTTCCGGACTGATGCGCAAAAGGCTGCGCAGAAGTATATGCGTCACGCAAACAACAAACGATTATCAAAGGTAGGCGCCGCTAACCCTCTGTTGGAGGGGAAAGGCGGCGCAGCAAAAGGGGGGGGAGCGGTAGTAATAGGTCGGGCATGTCCTCCTACAGGCGGATTTTGGGTGACAAATAAAAAAGAATCAAAACATGTTCAAAAGTAGCCAAAAATAGTCAAACAATCGTCCCCAGACTATTTTTTACTATCTTCGAACATTCCTCCTGTAGAGGGTCAGGCCCGACTTCACGCTAGAATTTCAGCGTCAGCAAGATCTCGCGAAATCCTTGTTGTGCCATCGTGCTTCTTCCCTCCACCGCGCGCCAAGAAATTCTCGAACAAATGTTGGCCGGACAAGAGCGGGAGAAACCAAGCATGCGAACGGATGCCGCACATTCGCCTGCCTCGCCGGCCGGACATGCACCGACCCCAAACGAGCAACGCTTCAGACGGTGCTGGCCGTTTTCTCGGCATGGCCACGACCTGTGCGATCGCTCCTGAACGTTCGTCCGTCGCCTCCGCCTTCTCAGACTCTCACACCCAGTCCTCCATGACACAGACTTCTTCAGCGAAGAGTGTGTGACATCAGGCAAAGCCGTTGTTACATCGCCGCCGATCGTGGAAGCCAAGCGGGGATGTCCTGGCGTCCTGGCTAGAGCCGTGCCAAAGGGCACGTGCGTGTCACGCGTACGCGGAGGTCTCGGGGCGTGAGCGGCGGAACGAAAAGGAGTGCCCCCCCCCCCCGCAGGGAAACTCGTTTCGGTGGCGCTGCGGCTCGTGCCGCGCGTGCGGCTGGGGCGAGACAGCGCGAGTGGGCGAGAAGGGATCGCCGACCATGGCTGGCTGGCCGTGGTCCTGGCCGGCGCTGGCCCACGGTCGCCCCATGGGTGTCCCTGTGCTTGCTTGGCGGCTGCTCTGCTCGGTGGTCCCTGGGGAACCGAAGGTACCAATACCGCTACTCCACGGACCTCGCCCGGGGTGCCTGCCGACAGGAACTTCGAGGCGGGCGAAGCCACCAGTGGCGACGAGGGCCTCCCAGGAGGTCCAAAGATGCCAGGCGAGGGCAGCGGTATGGGTACCTGTTCCTCCTCCCGGTCTCTTGGCCGTCTCGTGCTTGACCCGTGGCTCCCGTGGGGCCTGCGGCCGAGCTCGCTTCGAGGCCTCCTGGTCGAGCGAAAGGCGGTCTGCTGCCGCGGGCGTGCACGGCCTCGGCAGGTCCTGCGGGGAGGGCGATGAGGAGCTTGCCATCGCTGGGACGTCCATGTCCCGTGCATGTTATGAAGTCGTGTGCTTTGCTTGTCGCGAGATGATCCAAGATGCTACTCGATGGTCCTCGCCGAGGGAAAATGCAAACATCCGAGCGATGCCAAGGGAGTGGCCCCTTCCAATCACAACCAGTGGCATCGTCGAGGCGCGAATGTAAATGCATTCCCACGCTAGTGCTACAACGCTGGACCACCACATCCATGCGAACTGCACAAGACAGTACAGACTGCGCTGACAGGGCGAAGATACTCATATGCTGTCTTGGTTTAAATATGCGTTTTCTTTTCAAACCTCTTGGGACTCCCGTGGGCAGTCTTCAAGTTGGACTGACAGTGTGCCGTCGCTTGGGGCCCTCTTTCGTTCCTGTCGGCGCCTTCTCGAAATTCCGATTGGGCTCTTCTGACGCCGTCCCGAGATCCCGAAAAAGCCCTGCACGCTGCCCAAGACGCCCCTAGAGAGAGACCAAGCAAAACCCGCGAGAAGTTAGACAAAAGGTTCCAGCTGTTCCCCATGATGATGCGGAGGAAGAGGAGGAGGAGGAGGAGAAGGAGGAGGAGGAGGAGGAGGAGGAGAGGGAAGAGGAGGAAGCGGAAGGGAAGGGAAGCCGGCAGACGCTTGGCTCAGCGGTGGGAGCGCGAAGAGGCAGCCTCATGATCTGAGCAAGCGTGCTGGGAGCGCGAGGGAGACGGCCATGGTGCTGATGGCTACTGCGGCTATCTCGGTTCCGTTATCACTTTCCAACAATTTCGCCATCATCATCACCATACCCATCACCATCACCATCACCATCACCACCATTACCATCACCATCACCACCATCATCAGCAGCAGCATCATCATCATCAGCATCATCATCACCATCTTCAACAGCATTCACATCATGATCATCATCAACATCATCGGAAAACGACAGGGGCACGGATATACATTTCTTTAAATATGTTGTTCTGCCCCTACAACTATGACCAGCCTGGAGGTCTCCCACGCCAGGGGCTGGGGCGCTCGATATTAAACGGTTGAGGGGAAGAGACATGTGAGCAGGAGTCTGAGCAGGAGGAGAAGGAAAAGAAATGGCGCCCCAAAGCCCAAAGCGCTTCTCTGCGGCGTCCTGGCTCTCGTTGGTGAGGTCGTAGAGGTCGCAGTGGTGCTTCCAGAGCTTCATTGCGTAAGATCCGAAGGAGTCGTTCATCGTCGGCTCCCAGCTGCTCGCCTGGGTCGGCTCTCTCTCTCTCTCTTTCCCTCTCTCTCTCCCTCATCCCTCTTGACTCTTGGCCGTCTCCTTACAATCTGCTCCGCCACCCTCCTCCTATCTCTCGGTCCTGGCCATCGTTTGGCCTTACTCGCCCCGCCCTGAAATCTTTACCCATCTCTTTGCGAGTTGGTCCACCCAACGCATGGCGGATTTCGGAAACCCTGAACCCCACAACGCTTTCATCTCTCAGGGACGCATTTTGTACTTCCGCCGCCTTCCGCCGCCCTTCCGCCGGCGGAGGCGGCTTCGTTCTACCTCCGCCGACTTTCGGCCGCCCTTCCGCCGCGGAAGAGAGGTCAAGTCCTCCTACCCTCGAAGGCAGTGCCCTCTTTGGAACGCCTCGCATGCGCCCACGAACTCCGAAGGCTTCTGGAAGCTGGTCGCCAAGGCCGCCGCCCCGTGGCCACCCTGGCCCCTGGCGCATTGGCTTTGGGCCCCTGGCGCCCTGGCGCAACGAGCCAACTGCTCTGGAAGAGCCCCTGGAGAGAAGTACGCAGCTGGGCTGAACAGCGCGGCGACACCGAGACAACTAGAAGGGGGCTCCCTGAAGATTCTGGGAGCCTCTGCGTAAGTTTGGGCGGCAAGCCCAAGAGGGAAGGCAAGGGGGGTAGGCCTGCTCAGACGGCTCAGAAGGCCTCAGGCCTTCTGAGAGGCTTTCTAAGCCTGCTCTGAAGACACAGACCACTTCCCAGAAAGCCAGGGGGGTTCTGACAAGCCCCGCCCCCTTCTGAGAAGTTCCGGCCCCTTCTCACTCCCCTCGCAGTCGCGCCGCCGAAAGGTGTGAACAGCGGAAGCAGGGCGCCGGGCGAAGCCCCATGACACGTCTGGGAGCCTCCGGCCATCTCCTGGAACCCATCGGGGTGGGAGGACTTTCGGCGGGTGTTTCCGCGAGAGAGCCTCGGGGTCTCCCCTGCGCCACCTCCGCAAGGAGCCTCTGCAAAGGCCCTCGGTCTTGGAAGCCGCGGCCCTAAGAGCAGCGCCGCTCACTGTCTGACTGGGAGCGACAAAGGGCATGTGCGCCTGGCGTTTTTGTCTTGCACGACTTGGCTATCGCAAGTGCCGCTCAGACTATGGAAAATAGGACGAGTAAGCGAAGTAACATACCGAGGGACGCGATATCCCCTGATGATGACATGCATGACACATCGAGGTGGACACAAGCTAAGGCTTGTCAAGCGAACGGGCTGAGCAAGAAATGGCACGCAGCGTGCAACAATCAAGCGCAAGGCAATGGGAGGGAATTCGAAGTGAATGGTTGGATCAAACAGAGGCAGCGCAGCCTCGACCGAATGTTCACAACGTCAGACAGTGCAAGGCAAAGCATGGCGAGGCGACACAGGGCGGCGCGTTCAGAAGCAAACCGAAACATGGCGAAGCCGAAGCAACCCGTAATTCCTACGACGCATCTTGCCACGAGGCATCTGGGCCCTGCGTAACATATGGATATAATACCCAGGACAACTGTTTTATCCTGCATCGTGTCTTGGACGTCGTGCGACCCGGGGAGGGCCCTGGGACAGTACAGCACAGTACAATCCAGCGCAGTACAATCCATACAGTACAGTACGGCACAATACAGTAGGGGCGATATCAGCCCAGAACCTTAAAGACTAACGACAACTCAAGGAGAGCAGCGCTGCGCCGCCAGCTTGGCGCAAGCATGCCATCGCGTAACGACAAAGCCGCATGCGGCACGATCACGAGTGCAGCTCTCTGAACAAGCGCTGTTGTACAACCGCCGTTCCTTGAGCCAATTGCTATCTCGAGACTGTAAAAGAATTGCGGCCAATGAGTTGTTATTCCGTGGACTGTGCAGATGCTCATTCCAATCCACCACTCGATTGCAATTTTTCGTGCTTCACAGGCCCTCTTGCTCCATGATGGCTGTAGTCTGCCTGTTCCTCCGTCGTACGTATTCGACCAGACCCTCGTGGGCGTGGGGAGGTGCGCGCATAATAGAGCTGACCGTATGCCCCTGGGCCGTGTCGATCTGCATCTGCATGAGGCTGGTGTGGCCAACGCGTCTGGGGATCCTGAATGATAGGCAATACAATTCGGCCCAGGAGGGTTTATCGAAGACCCACCAGCATCTTCGAAGCAACCTTGGGCGCGCAATTCCCGGAAGTACGCTTTCCATATAGACCTAGAAGTACGTTTCCAACACGTCTTAATGGAGTCAGTGTCCTGGAGAGTATGACCCAAAGCATTGAACCCCTCTCTGGAAGGCCATTGTCCTGATCGTATGGCGCCTCAGTGTTGCCCGGGGGCACAAGGCATGATCTGCTGGAAGGCTTGATCTTAAGGTCCCAGGTGGATTGCACGTGCGCCTCGAAGTCCTCAAAAATCTTGATGGTCCACTTGGGCAAGGATACCGTGGATAAAACATCTCGACGTACGTGGCGACAGTCAGCTGATGCCCTCCAGCTGGAAGTCCATGCCTCGCCCATTCCCCGTGCCTGTCGCGGATCGTGCTTTCGACGGGCACGCGGCCCATCGCACCATGAACCCTGGATCCCGTGAGTGATCCCTTTGAACGCTGCGGGATTGGAATTGAGAGGTCCCCGACTCTCAGCTGGACAGCATCTGTTGCCTGAGAGCGCACGCCGCCAGTGCATGAGAAGCCCCGTTGTCGACCAACCAGTGCGCGACAAGTACCAAAACAATGCTGCTGTTTGAGAGAGTCCCTGCTGAACTCACGTCATCCTTACCCCCGGCGCAAGAGGAAGTCAGGCCCCACCGCGCGGACCAGTTCCAGGGCACGCGCCAGGGCGCGCCGGGCAGGTCCCAGCAGGGCTTTCGCTCGAGGCGTCCCCGCAAAAATCGGCACCCCGCGCTCGCGAGGAGGTCAGGCCCCGGCCGCGCCACCAGGGACCATGTCCGGGGCGCGCGCAGGGGCGCCCGGCCTGGGCGTGTCCCAGCAGGGCTTCCGCTCGAGACCTCCCCGCAGGGCGCGCGAGGAGGTCGGGCCCCTCGCCTTCCTGCTCCACGCTCGCCTGATCCTCGCCCGCGTGGCCCTCACTCTTCTGATCCTCCCCCATCGCGAGCCTCGCCCTCCCGATCCTCACGCTCATTCTCCTCTCGATCAGTCTCCTCTCGCCCAGAAACGCACGCCCCTTCTTCTGTATACGGAAACTCCCGATCAACCGCAGAGCGGCCGGCCAGTGATGTGTTTGAACGTCTTGCTGTGCTGTCCCTCCCTGAGCGTGCCCGCCCGGCGGGGGCAGGCACTGTCAGTTTTGGGCGCAAGGGCGGCCGCGAGTAGGCAATCGCACACTGGCAGGACCGATGGTGACCGATGGTAGAGAAAGGATGCCCCTGATCTGTGAAGGTGGTGTGATTGAGAATTCCTTGCCAGACACCTTGCCCTGACTCTGGGTAGCGGCCATGAGCGGAGAGGGCCCCAGAAGCGTTTCGAGAAGGCTCGACGTGGCAGAAGAAGGGCAGGCAGCGCGCAAGAGTCTGACGAGACCCGCAGATACACCATAATTACTGGTCAAGTTTAGCTCTGTTGGCCGGCGTCCTGCAGACAGCGGGCATCATGTCCTCAGTGATGTCCAGCGGGCACGATTCAGACTGGAGGGCGGAGTCCAAGAGCCGCAGCCTGGGCTGCCGCTCCGAGGCGCCCCACTTGCCTGAGAACTGCGTCTTGATGGGCTCTTGCCAACCAAGCTTCATCCGTGATGGTCTGGTTCCCCCCTCCCCAGGCAGGATCAAACCCTTGATCATGTGTGTAGTTTTTTCGCCTTCTCTGCCACGCGGCCCTTTTTTACACTCTCCGTCCTGCGGGCCGCTGTGCAGTCCGCAATCCATCGCTTTAGACAGATCGAAGCAGAGGTCTTTAATCTCTTCCCTTCGGGCTCCCGAGCCGTGTCCGCTATCTGCGCATGTCATTCGCGGAGCTACTGTGGAACTCTGCTGGCACTCCGGGCCTTGCAAAACCGATGGTTTACCCAAACAATCTGGGCCTCTTCCAGGAGGGTGTGGACCTCCAGGTCGGGGAGCCCGTCGAGGGAGGAGGAGGAGGAGGAGGAGGAGGAGGAGGAGGAGGAGGAGGAGGAGGAGGACGAGGAGACGGAGGAGGAGGTCGGTCTCCACACGGGGGAGGACCTCCGGGACCCCTGTCCTCCAGAATCCCCCTCTCTCTGCATGGCGGCCCTGGACTGGGGCCCCCCCCCGGACCTCTCTGGGGATGGCTTCTGGTACAGTAGGAGCTCGACCACAAGAAACCTCCCGAGAGGGCAGAAAATCCCCCCCCAGAATAATCGCCCCGACACGCAAAGCCGTTTAGTAAACGCACCCTCAGGAGAAATCGAACAGGACAGGGCTGTTTAATAAACGCCCAAGGCCGTTTAGCAAACGCCAGTTATCAGGTCCGGGTGGATTTTCCACCTTGACTCCCACAAGAAACACAACCCTGAGACCCCCAGACGTCCATTGGTTTCTGGCGTGGGAGCGTCACGTGTTCCATCGCAGAACCATGGAGACCGAGGAAACCCAGGGCACCCTGGAGGCAGGCAGGGTGTTTCTTGGCATTGGTTTCCACTGTAAGGGTACACGTCGTTCATTTCTAATCGTGCTCATTTCTAATTGTGTTCGTTTCTAATTGTTCCTGGCCCCCTAGTGGCCAGGAAGAGGCCCAGGATAGAACGATGAGAAATGAGTGGATCTTGGCCCCCCAGAACATCAAATAACTTTCGAAGAATTAGGAATGAACAGCGTGTATCAATCATCTCATCCGGCCGCGGCGAAATGTGGGACGATGTCCACTTCGGCGCTCGGGTGCGCGCTGTGAAGCTCGAATTTTTGGAGGCCTCGAGTTGGCCTGACAGGGGCCGTCGGAACCCACGGCGAGACCAGGTCTGAAATTGGAAGCGAGCTTTAGCTGCGGAAATCCCATGAAGACTGGACCGTCAAAGCTCAGGACGGGCCCGTCACGATGCGTCGGCAACCCGAACTCTGGCGAGCTCGAGTAAAAACAGTTCTTCGGGACCAAACGCCCGTCATCATCGTTGGCCCAGCAGCAGCAATGGACCAAAGGCAATACCGACCAAATACTCGGAGCAGGGCGAGCTGAGGCAACGGCAGTTCAAAATCGGCCCAGCCCCCTCCCGGGATCCAGACGCATCAGTTTTCCCAGCTGCACCCAGCGGTACGTGGCGACGAGGGGGGCCCTCCAAAGGCCAACAACCGAGGCCTCAAGTCGAAACGATCATCGTGATTTTCATCGTGATCTGCATCGTCGTGCTCTGCATCTCGTGCTCTGCATCGTCGCGTCGTTGCCTATCTCGGGGGCGGGCGGCGGGCAGGGCGCTTGACATGCGATGCCTTGATGTTGTTAGCACGGGATCCCCTGAAGGCCCCACCCTCTCCACCTTCCCTAAGGGGGAGGAGGAGGAGGAGAAGGAGGAGGAGGAGGAGGAGGAGGAGGAGGAGGAGGGGGAGGAGGGGCAGGAGGAGGAGGAGGAGGAGGAGGAGAAGAAGGAAGAGGAGGAGGAGAGGAAGAGGAGGAGGAGGAGCAGGAGGAGAACGACGAGGAGGAGGATGAGGATGAGGATGATGATGAGGATGAGGATGATGATGAGGAGAAGGAGGAGGATGAGGAGGAGGAGGAGAACGACGAGGAGGAGGAGGAGGAGGAGAAGGAGGAGGAGCAAACGTACCATGAAGGAGAAGGAGGAGGAGGAGGAGGAGGAGAACGAGGAGGACGATGATGGGCCCAGCGGCGGAGCCGAAACCGGCTGCGGGCTGGACCTCTCCCCGGGTCGGCGACTCCAAAGGGCGTGGCTTGCAAAGGCTGCCGCCTGCAGCGGGCACCTCGAGGGAGCTCTCATCCCGCGCCCTCGAGGAGAGCCCGATGAGGCCAGCGTCGTGCCCACCATCTGGACGCCCGAAATGGGCACGGAAAGAATGGGCACAATGCCCAACAACAAATGTTGTCCCAAACCAACAGCGGCCGCTGTTGGGCAGGCGGCCTTCTGTCTCGAATGGACACAGGCTGCGGCGGCGTGGACAACAAGTCCTGTTCAACCTGTTCAAAATGAAACAAGAACTGCAATTGGGCATCGTACCCATTCTTTCCGTACCCATGTCGGGCGTCCAGACACCAGGCCCCCGCAGTGCCGATCGCAGACCACACCCTGGCGTCACCGCACCCTCTGTAGTCTGAAGTCGGGCCTGTCCCCCTACAGGGGGATTCTCGACGAAAAATAAAAAAATACCCACCAAATGCTCCAATGTGGCCAAAACATGCTAAAAAAATAGTCCCCAAACTATCTTTGGGCTATCTTTTAAGACTCATTCCCCTGTAGAGGGACAGGCCCAACTGAATCGTAGTCGCCAGCCAAGGCCAGCCTCCCAGCCCGAGCCGCTGCTCGACGGCCGCAGGGCACGGCGATGGGCCCCCCAGGCGGCCGAAGGCTGCGGAGCGCCCGCCGTCGTACCCGCTTCACGCCGCGAGGCATGTCTGGGTGCGCCCAGGGGACCCGTCGGCGGCGAGCCCCCGGGGGGGGGGGAGGGAGCGAAAGGGGACAGGCCGGAGGGCTTCTCCGAAGGGCTGAGGCGACCCGTCCTTCTCCTCCTCCTCCTCCTCCACCTCCTCCTCCATCGCCTCCTCCATCGCCTCCTCCTCCTCCTCCTCCTCCTCCTCCTCCTCCTCCATCGCCTCCTCCTCCATCGCCTCCTCCTTCTTGCTCCTCCTCCTCCTCCTCGTCCTCCTCCATCTCCTCCTCCCCCTCCCCTCCTCCACCTCCTCCTCCTCCTACTACTCCTCCTCCTCTCGTCGCCTACGGCCCCGGGGGAAACCGTGCAGGACAGGCCTTCTCAAGAAAGCGGCGGGGCTTCTCAGAAGTCCTCCGGCCTTCTGAGGAGGCTCAGCAAACTTCTCCGAAGGCTCAGCCAATTTCTTAGAAGGCTCAGCACACTTCTCAGATAGGGCCCATCTGATAGGCGCGCGGGCTCGGCAAGCTTCTCGGAAGGCTCGGCAACCTTCTCAGCAAGCTCCGGAGAGAAGGCTCGGCAGACTTCTCCGCAGGCGCGAGGGCTTCCGAGGAGCCCCGCCACCTTCCGAGAAGGCCTGCCGCCTCTCGCTTCCCTCCGGGGCTCGCCGCCGAACTCCATGGCACGTACCACTCGTCGCCGCGCCGCTGCTCGTCGTCGAGCGGGCGGGCCGCGCACGCGGAGCGCCTGGCCCCGCGCCTCGCCGCCCGGCCAGGCCGGCGACCCCGCGCCGAGCTCGGCGTCGAAGTGGTCGCGCCAGGTCGAGTAGTTGAGGTGCACCACGACGCCCTCGTCCTGCCGATGGCGTGCAGGGCGCGAGGGCGAGATGATGGGCCCGCTTTCCTCCCGCCACCACCACAAGCTGGAGGGGGGAAGGAGGAGGAGGACGAGGAGGAGGACGAAGCGGAGGAGGAGGAGGAGGAGGAGGAGGAGGAGGAGGAGGAGGAGGAGGAGGAGGAGGAGGACCCCCTCCCCCTCCAACTTATGGTGGTGGTGGTGGTGGAGAACTGGCCCGTCACGAGAGCAGGGGTCGGGAGAGGGAGAACGTTCGAGCAGCCATGGCATGCCGCCCCCAGGGGACCGTCAGCGTGCCACTCCTCTTGGTTTCTGTCCGGAGGCCTGGCGCTTTGCCTCGGCAGCACGTCCAGGTGCGCCACGACGCCCTCGTCTGGGACGCACAGAAACATACTGATACTATACGTCCTCCTCGGAGGCGCGCGTCCGACCCCAGCACATAGTATGCCCATCTTGTAGAACATCGTTTCCCGAGCGGTGTGGCCAGAAAGCGCCCGCCACGACGCATATACTAGAAGATTTCTCGGTGCGCGCGTCGCCCCTGGGGGGGCGACGCACATGCCGATCGTCCTGCCGACGGCGTGCCGAATCAGTCTAAGACGGACGTCCTCATCCCGCCTTCGTCTCAAGAGGAGCTCGCGGGACGGAATCGGATCACGGCGCGCATCTCTTTGTACGCTGATGGTCCGAGAGGACTGGCTCTCGTCTTAGAGCAGAGCTCAATCAGAGGCGGCCGCGAGGGCGAGAGTAGTAGTGATGCTTCGAACGGTGTGCTGGAGCGACTTGTCCAATGGGGAGGAGGAGGAGGATGAGGAGGAGGATGAGGAGGAAGAGGACGAAGAGGAGGAGGACGAGAATAGCTGTCTACGGGTGGGGACTCGGGGGGGGAACACTTACGACCCTCGCGAAGGCAGAAGCGAGCCACACCGCGAACACCAACGCTGTTTGGCCTGCAGCCGCGCCAGAGGCCGCATGGGCGTACCCCGCCCCCTGGGCGTTTCTCGTTGCTTCCTCGATACGGATCTCCTAGTTTGATCCCCCCTGCGGCGACCGCCGCTGAGTGGGGAGTAGGCTGCGCCGCGTGACGATCCCAAAGCCAACAGCAAAAGCAGCAACAACATGAGGATCGTCACTGGTCAACGAAGGTCGCCGAGTCTGCGGAAGCAGGCGTACCTCGATGCGCCAATTGCCAGCAGTCTGCAGGGCGCCTGGAGAACGCCAGACGGCACCCAAGAAGCACCACAAACCCCCAAAGCGCCAAGGATGCCCGTGCCGTGCCGAGTTCAGCCTGAGTGCCGTCAAAACTGACGCCCGTATTGACGCTTTCTCGAGCGCGGCGGGCCATCGAAAGTAGTCAAGGATGGACCAAAAAGGCACGGATGCAAGTGTACGCTTGGGAAGGTTACTCATCCTTATCATCGGTTTCGACTGTAGGACGCGAGTGCGAGAGCAGGGATGCATCCCTAGCTCCTCTCGTCGAAATCACGGCGCGGACTGTTGGCATCTCTCGGCCTCTGGTGGTTCTCGCGCATGGCCTCGGGGCCGTCAAGAGAACGGCTCGGGACGGAAAGCCCCCAGGGAAGGGGTCCAGACATCCGGATGGGGCGCATAAGGACATACTGCTGTAGTACGTCCTCCTCCGAGGCGTGCGTCCGACACATCATGTAGTACAGCCATCTTGGAGTACATCTCTTCCAAGGCGGTACGGTCAGAAAGTGCCCGCTACGGAGCTTCTACTGGAAGATTCCTCGGCGCGCGTCGCCCCTGGGGGGGGGGCGACGCACACGTAGTATTAGTGCGTCCGCGTGACGCCGAGCCCAGAGGTCCACGTTGTGAACAATCACAACGTTGGACTTACTTCTGGGCACGGCGCCTGGAGAACGCCA